CCGTGTAAATCATACGACATCAGAAATAGAAGATCCAAACTTCTGAAAATTTTCAACGCTACAAAAATATATTTGAAGTATTGTAAATTTTATTGCGTGTTAAATTTAATGTCAATGTATGAAAAGCAATTTCTTTACTTTCCAAGGGATCGAACACTGTAACTTTCATCAATAGTTTCTTTCACTGCTGATACAGCAGCGGTAAGAAGTAATTGTTGCTTGCCGGATTCCTTGGCTTCTTCCACGAACGCCGCTTTCATTTCCTACAAAATTCGTTTTGAATTTTTCTCCCTCTTTCAGATGGATGTAATATATTTCAGTTTTATTTTTGAAACCAACTCATTTTTGAAGCGAGAATTGTCTCTTTTGGAATGTCAATTAAAATTTGATGGCATATATCTGATTGCTACAATAGTGCCAGAGATTTCAAGTAAACAAAACATTAAACGTTAGTCGGTGATGGAATTACACTCACCTCAACAAGTTTGGCATGTTCCTCTGCTACACCGGTTGGATATTCCCAGTCGAGATCGAATCCATCAAATTTATGCTTGCGAAGAAATGTTGTAGCTGACTGAATGAAATGCTTCCGTTTTTCCGCCGACTTTGCTATTGCCTTCAAATATTTCAGCAAGAAAAAAGTGAGACGTAAAGTTGGAGAACATTTGAGATACAATGCATCACGTGTTTGCAGCTCTTTTTGAAATCATTTGTCAATGTGTTAGTGTCGGGAAACCCGAAGTTTTATGACTTGTATAATTGACAGCCAAGCTAAAGAAGTTGCTATTCACAATCTTTCTTCAATGTGAAATTTAATTTCCTGCCATCCGTTATTTTATATTTGTGCTATTTGAATGTCATTCACAGTAAATTACCCGCCAACATTTCCCGCTATTACATGTTCTCTATCTTTCTTTTTATCTATAACAACAAATCTAGCCAATGAGTAATCAAACAGTCTCCTTCTTCCCCATCGCTCTTTCTTTCTTTTCATTTACATTGCCTAACTATTCTATTATCTGTAATATGTCTGCATGTCGGCTACCCATTTATCCTGCGCAAATCTGCGTCATTCTTGTAACTTATCACGCGTATCTCTACGTGATTTCTATTGATTTATTATATGACTGATAT